AGTGACCGTCATTATGAACGAGGCCTATTTGTACAGACCTTACCGCGAGAAAACCTGCAAATGTGACCTGCCCTTTAAAAAGTTTTCCGTTTTTGTTATCGTGTAATAAATGTATACTGTATCAAAAAAATTGTGTACAAAAAAACCTACCTATTTTTTGGTAGCCTATTCGCGGTCGGGTTCATAGTTTAATTTATGGGCATGGCTACATTTAGCATAAACCAAACCATCCCTTCTGGGATAATTTTATGATGTTCGCATACTTTTGCTGAAACCACCTAAACTTGACTGAGAAACTTGGACTGTAGTAGTTCAACGTAAAAGTCGCTCGGCCCTAAACACGTCATTACGGATCCTCCCGATCCATTAACGGTGCTTTTAGGTACCACAAGCACCGGTCACCGTCCTCACCGAACCCGTTCCTTGAGAGGAAGGGCTCGGTGAGTAAATTAACCCACAGACACAGCCCACTGAGTTTCTCGCCGGATCGTGGGTCGCGTTTCTGATCCGGTGGTAGATACTGCTCTTCCTAGGGCTAGTGTTAGCTATCAGCATAGGTAGGGGAAAAAAATGTCGCTCGTGTATCCGGAATTACGTCCGAGGGTAATGTTGATTGAATAGATTCAAAATGATCTGTCCTGCTAGAACTGGAAAGGCCTCCGGGCCACACCAGTAAACATAAAAAAAGATTAACTACGTTACTATGAATCTGAGCGAATCTCTAATTTTTTTTTTCTTATTGCCTGTATAGGCAGACGAGCATACGGCCCACCTGATGGTGAGTGGTTACCGTCGCCCATGGACGTCAGCAATGCCAAGGATAGAGCCAAGCCCCTGCCTTCCGTTCAACACTCTCCACAGGCCTCGTTTGAAGAAAAAAAATATTGATAAGATTTTGGCAATAATAGTTTCTGATCTTGATGTTCAAACACCAACCACTGGCTGTTTGTTTGTTACAGAGCAAGTTCAGTTTGTTTCCATTACATTTAATTTGCATAATGAAACCGCGATCTTAATCTAATTTATGAGGAAACAGCGAAATCTTCGACCGTGAAGCTGGAGACTGTGATTAAAAACGGGGAAAAACACGATTGGCCGAATCGGTGGTGCAGCAGTTAGAGATTGTTGCGCCGAGGGTCGTGGGTTCGATTCCCGCAACAGCAAAAGCATTCGTGTGATGAACACGTTTTTTTTTGTGTTTATATCTTCGTGGTGTATCTATGCTATGTAGTCATCACCTTATTTGTCGATCAACAAACTATGAAGATTTCTTAGAATTTCAACACAAATAAAAAAATTATTGCTTAGATCTGTGAATGGGCTCACGGCTTCTGATGTTAACCGATTCCCCATAGGAGCCCATAGACAGCAACAGTGTAAATGCCATCTTGAGACGTGAGTTCTTATCCTCAGTTTTATAGTATTACATTTCATTACAATTACATTTCCATAATACCTGGAGTCACGGCGTTCATCCACAGTGCGTTTCCAGAGATCTTTTCTGCCACGCACCATTCGGCTATGGAATGAGCTCCCCTCCACAGTGTTTCCCGAGCGGTTTGATAAGTCCTTCTTCAAACGTGGCTTGTGGAGGGTGCTTAAAGGTAGGCAGGAGCTTGGCTTTGTCCCTGGAATTGCTGAAGTCCATGGGTGACGGTAATAACACACCATCAGGTGGGCCGTATGCTCGTCTGCCTACTAGGGCAATAAAAAAAAACAACAATTCCACCCATCAAACCGAAACGGATAATTGCTTCACAACAGAAATAGGCAGGGTGGTGGTACCTACCCGTGCGGACTCACAAGACGTCCTACCACCAGCAAACCATCCTATTTTAATAAAGATTAGAACTTTAAACTCAATAATTTTGGCTAGTCTTTCCATCGTTGTAGCTTTTATCCTTAAACATTACTTTTTTAATTAACTTCATAACGTGGTCACGATTTAGGTGTTTTGTTTTTTTGTTGTTGTAAAATATGAAACGGCAACAATAAGTAATGTTCATCTTACTTAATACCTAAAAATGTTTTTTATGAAGGAGATTTTTTATTATTATATACCTTAATTGAATATGAATAGATGTAAAGAATAACACCGGCAACCGGACTATAGCAGGACGATAAAAAAAACAAAGTTATTTTCCAATGTTTTTTTCGGATCTTCATAAATAAAATCGATCATTTATTCATTTTTATTCAGACATAATTTTTTATTTGTAATAATAACATCTATGATTGCGCTTGCATTTATAACCGATTACCGTTACATTACCATATAACCGTTACATTAAAAACAGATTCATATTAAAATGAAATGTTTTTATTTCTTTGGATCGCGTTACTAAAATCGATTAATTTTGACATATATTGGACGTCACACAAAAACAGATCACAACCTGTCATTTGACACGTGACTGTTCTGTATTGATGTATGATCTATGGCAAAGGCTCCTAAACTTATTTTGTCTTCTGCCCACTTTGAGAATAAATTCCTTTTTAGCGCCCCCATTTTTTCAGTCCTCCTAGATGAATTTACAAATCGTCTCCCAAGCCTCTACACAACGCCCTCTTTTTTTTTGGGTCTCTTACCCAAAGGGGGGCTTTAGGCCTGCAGCGCCCAAAAAGAGGCCGTTATCGCCCACTTTGGGAAAGGATAATCTATGGTAAGGATTAATTTAGCACTAAATAACAACACATACTGAATATACGTTATAGTATTTCATTCTTCAATCTCGAAAAAATTTCTCCTCGAAAATAGAATGTTGAATGTGCCGATAGAAACTCTTGTATTTAAGTAATTACCATCACCACAGATTACAATACAGAGCTGACGCATACCGCCGGAAGACGCGTAACGTCACACCATTTTATCGAATTCCTCTACATCAATCGATCCTTCACGAAGTCCTATTAAAAGTCAGCCACCACCTCGAATTTCTAGCCTCATGCCATTAAGTAGTGCTCCAAACTTTAATTATGTTCCGGCTGTGACCAATTGGGTTCGTGTCTCGAATTATCTGACGAGTCATGCAGCTAGCTACTGAACGCTCCGATCTGTTTGGAATCAAACGATGTATCTTCAACAACGAAACAAGCTTTATCATCCTTATCCAAGTCGAAATTCAGTTCAATTTCATTTGCAACAATGCCTTCATTGGCTTCATTTCGTTTGACATCATCGGACAGAATCTAATCTTTGGCTGATGATGTAATCTGAACTTTATTTGATTTGTCTTTGAGATCATTGTCGGTTGTTGCGATCCGTTCAATGCGTACTTCGTGTTGTGCCTGATGGAACGTGGCCTATAGCCTCATTGTTGTGTGAATAAAACTTATCGGGGAGATGACGCGACGATTTTAACTTAGAAACTAATTTGGACTATCACAAAGAGTATCAATGGTGTGCCGAAACATACTATTGAATGAGCGAACACTTCGCTCATTTTATAATCAACTCGGCACGTGTAGACATTTGACACTGCTTGATATGCAGCACGCGAACTATTATTTTTACTATCGCGTATTTACTTTGTTTTGTTTTAAAATCCGATTACGATAATATTCTGTCTGTTTAATTAAACATTTCTGGTATCCAACCAGAGAGTTCTTTTGCTACTATTATTTCATTAAATATCTCTATTGATATTGCAGCTCATTGCCAAGAACGCTCTAAGCCGCAATCTCAATATTCAATCAAAAAATAATCTTTGGACTACAGTTTTATTCTTAACGCTCTTAGAGAACTTTGTCTTTGAAATCCTTTTGCCTACTTCTTTGCTTTTCGCCTTATATCTCGAAGATAAATCATAGGGCGGTTAGTCCAACGATCACAGAGGCACCGATAGTTGTGGACAAACCACATTGACGATCTATGCGAATAAAAAATTCATTTAATGGTTCTCAAATATGTTCCTTTTCTTTGGAATACAAATCTCACACACATACACTTGTTAAATCCATTATTAATTAAATCCGCAACGAACGGCTACTAGTCGAAGTTTACTGGAGGCCAAATCTTATGTGCTCGTCTACAGAATAAGTATTAGGAAGTGACGCTGAGCCGTGAAACAGCCGTGACGCTGGCATCCTGAATGTAGACTTGTGTAAATTAATAAAAAAACCTTTGATCTTGCTGCGATTAGCGTTATTTGTTCCGGCAACCGAGGATGTCATCCAAGGGCGAAATTCGCTTTCCGCTGGTGATGTATAGGGAAATTTGTTAATAAGTGGAGGCTTTTTGAGGTCGGCCTTTTTTTTTTAAAACACTTAATTATCACGGAACCAAATGCCTTTACTCAATTTTTTGAATTGGAATGGTTTTTTTTAAATTATATCTTAAGAGAATTATTTACCGGATATCGTGTAGTTTGGAAATGAAGTCATAGTAATTTTTACATTATTTCCAATCCATATCCAATCCAATCTATATATGTCCTCTTCGTAAAGCAAATTCGGATTCTTTTTTGGGAAAATGGCCTTGCGCTGCTGCCCTTGTTGCATGTAATCTTCGAGAGTACCTAGGAGTGACCATTTTGCCCTTCAGAGTGGAACGCACGAATGCTTCGCGTTTCACAGTAGACAAAGACATGATTGGTTAATACGGCTTATTACCAATAAAACCAATGAGAGATTTCGGAAGAAGCCTATTGTTATTGAAATCTCTAGTTAAAGATCAGCAGCTAGATATGATTGGACTGAGATTATTTGGTTGGATTCTCTGGCCGACACCTGTCTAAATACTTATAAAATAACATATTTTTTTTGTTACAAACCACAAATTAGAGTTTACTCGTGCTAAATTATTTTTTATTCTTCATCCATGTTTTTTTTGCATTTGTAAACATCCGTTCATTTGTAACACAAGTAAATAGATATTGAAGTTTCTGGATGATATATTAATTGATAATTAATTAATACCACAACTCGGCTTACGACTGTGAAACGACAATTAGAAATAGCTATTAGCGGAATACTAAAATTTTATTTTCTTTTATTTTCAGGTGTTCGGCTCCAAGGCCGACCTTCAGCTCCACACGCAGATCCATCTCCGAGAAGCCAAGCCCTACCGGTGTACGCAGTGTCCGAAGGCTTTCGCCAATTCGTCATACCTAGCCCAGCATTCCCGTATCCATTTGGGCATAAAGCCTTACCGCTGCGAAATTTGCCAGAGGAAGTTCACTCAGCTGTCCCACCTCCAGCAACACATCAGGACGCACACCGGCGACAAGCCCTACCGTTGCACGCAGATCGGGTGCACGAAAGCTTTCTCCCAGCTATCGAATCTCCAAAGCCACAGTCGTTGCCACCAAACCGACAAGCCCTTCAAATGCAACTCTTGCTATAAATGTTTCACACACGAGAAAGACTTGCTCGAACACATCCCCAAGCATAAAGAATCGAAGCACCTCAAAACGCACATATGCCAGTACTGTGGGAAAAGTTATACGCAAGAGACGTATCTCAGTAAGCACATGAATAAGCACGCGGAGAGGGCTGACAAGCGGCCGCCTATCTCGGCGTTAGGGCTGAGCGGCTTGAACAGGTCCCTAGCTGCAGCAGCGCCGACGGCCGCGCCCTTCGCAGACCACCCATACTGGCCCAAAGTCAGTCCTGATTCGGCAGCCCACATGTCCGACGAGGGCGGGTACCATCAGCAACGTGAAAGCGACGACCACCACGAGCAGCAGATGCAGCAACAACGGGCGCTGTTCGCTCAGCACGAGAGCCAGGACGACAGAATCCAGCCCCCGGTGTCTTCCGCCGCGAACTCCGCGTTCACGCCGATAAACTCGATGGCCCCGCATTTGAATGGCCTGTCGCACCACAGCGCGTTGCCGACTCGGCCGTATCTCTACGACCCCCTGCACTTCCAGCAAGGGAAGCAGCAGCCCGGCTCCTTCCCGAACCAGCTCATTTCCTTACACCAGATCAGGAATTACGCGCATCAGCCCTCGGCGTTGCTGCCCGCCGAACACATCCTACCGCACGCTCTATCGCACAAAGATAAACAGTAACATTATCGCCGTTTAGGTACACCACTTTAGTACTTACGATGGTATTACTAGTTATAAAAAAACAAATTTTAACGAAACATAATTTAGAATCTCTCTGGATGTAAGTGCGTTTATAGTGAATGCACGAAGGGTTTTTATTCGCCGTCGACGGATGAAATTGCATTTCTAGGGAATACATTTTTTTTTTTTTGTTATTACAATTTAATACTCCAAATTTTTGGGTAGTTATTCAAATTTATCGGTCACGAAGATTGGCTAGTTACGTTCTCTGATTACGCTTCAGCGGAGCGGTCGGCTCTCCACGTTCTACTCGTAGACTGATCAGCATGACGAACGCAAGCGATCTTCGATCTCCGTGAGCCAATGCTGACGAGTCTGCGAATACGAACTGCTCATTCCCAACACTGCTCCACGTTAGCGTAATCACCGAATCGTTGATATTAAATGGCCTAATTGCGTCATAATAAGCGTAGCATAATACGCATTCCCAGTGAGATTGAGTTATATAAGCCGGCCTTCGTCTCGTGTATTGCATTTTGTATTTTAAGTTCTTGCTAAACAGATCTCTATGATTACATCACATTTTTCACTCAGTTCCTACTTAGGTCGTATTTTTTTTTAATTATTTTAGATATTCCTTTAAATTCTCCTTCAAAATTTATCTTCGTTCGTTTTGGATCGAAAATAGAGCGTTATTGTTCGTCAAACATACTCATTGTGATGGTTTTTTGCATCGTAATTGTGTTGTGATATTTTCGATTCAAACACGCGAACATTCAAATATGTAACACTCGTTCTTGTTGAAAAAATGCTCTTTCATCGGATAAAATTATTTAACTACATTAATAATGTATCGTTAAATCTTATCGTTCTGTTGATGGAACATGTTTTCCCATTCTAATTTAAAACATTGAGTGGCCAAAATTGTCTTCATTGTCTTCTCACACGCAGGGCGCATTTTTGTATATAAAAAAAACATGTAAATAATTTACAATTTTTCGAAAGAACCTTGGGATTTTTATTGTTTTTTTATTATTATTATTATTATTTACGTTTACTTAATTCTAAAATGCTTATGCTCAATTATATTAGCATTAAGGTGCATCGGGGTACAGGAAAGACACGGAAAAGTTGTATTATAATAATTTCATTGTGTGTGTGTGTACTTAATTGGCCGACAAACAACACTTCGAACGGAGGTTTGTGTTCAGTTTAAGTAAAAATTAAATTTACCCTCAGATATAATTGACGTCACACTGTATGTTGCCCTCAAACAAAAATTACACTTGGGTACAAAAAGTTCGTTTAGATAAACTCAATGTATACGAACAAATTTGATTTTATTATTATTATTATTATTAATTATTAATTATTTAAATAAATAAACGGTTCGTAGTAGAGTTAACGAAATGAAATGTGATAGGAGACGGGAATAAGGGAAGAATGCTATTTTTGGAGGAAATTGTTCGATTCTTTGAAAGATCCTTTTTTTTTTTGCTGTTTCGTTTTGTTGTTGAATTTAAAAATGGTAACTTAGGTTGTGGTACCCGTAAGGCGTCCGGTCTGTCTGTCTGTCACAATTATAGCCAAATATAAGTTCTTGTAGATTGAAGGGAAATGGATTCTGGGATTGTTCCAGTGCACAATGCGAGGGCGAGACAAGCCTCTGCAAAACAAATATCTCATGTCGAATGAAAAAAATAATTCGACGAACAAAAATACCAGTTAATTTTGATTTTATTTAAACGAATTGCGATTTTCTCTCTCTCTCTCTCTCTATTGTAAGTAGAATTGTGATATACTATTATTGTGTGTATTTGTTTTATTTTTTATTAAGTTAATTTGTAAAATTACGAATACGATTTAATTTTGTAAGTAGGTACGTTCTTTACGTTATACGTTAGCTCTTGCTTCTCAGCATCCTCTGTTTAAGATTATAGACGAGAGTGAACGAAAACAGTTTTTTTTTTGTTACTTAAAATCAATTAAAAATTAATTAAAAACTATGCCAAGAAACTATTTTCTTTTCGTTTTATTTATTAACACGCTACACCTGCATATGAAAGACACAATAACCTTATAGCGTCATCATAACAATTTGAAAACTAGTCATAAATTTTAATAATGTCGTAACTATACTGAGACCTTAGAACTTATATCTCAAGGTGGGTGGCGCGTTTACGTTGTAGATGTATATGGGCTCAAGTAACCACTTAACACCTGGTGGGCTTTGAGCTCGTCCAGTCATCTAAGCAATAAAAAAAAACATTATTTATGCCAAAAAATCAAAACAAAATTTCGAAAGATTAAATAGAAGCTCACTTATGTCACAGTCGATCTGCATTAGTTGCAACTCGTTAATTTTGGCCCCAAATGACGTCACACGTAATAAAAATTACGCTGATCCAGCTATGAAGTTTGTTGGTTACTTTTTCTAAATTATTATTGTCAAATTAAGAGGAAATGCTAATTACATTAACTAAATACATGAAAAATATACCGACTGATCAGACATGTATAGTTAAAAAATTTGATATGCGATACAATCTGTAAAACATTGTTCAAATTGGATATTGATTTTTCCAAAGATTTTGAACTATTACACTGACAACTGTATCGTGTATCAAGCTATATTTAACAAAAACTATAGGAACTAGAGGTCCCGCAGTAGTCGAAATTCGACTATAATTGAAATTGTAAGTTTGTACACTATTATGATTGTATTTTATACTTCTATAATCACAAATTTCGCCAAGACTACAGTATAAAAAATATTATCAAAGACAAACAATATTTAATCTATTCTCAATTTGACCACAGACGTCAAGAACATAAGTTTGACAATAAATAGTATGCATGCGTGTGCGCGTCAAATACATGGTATGTAGTGTGTGTAATGTTTTCTTTATTGATTTAATGTATCTTTTATGCATTATTTATTAAAAAAATATTAGCATTGTGCACTTCTTCTCTATATTCTCTATAAGTGTGGAAAATTTCATACTCCTCCGTCCGCGCAATTTTCGTAAAAAGGGATACAAAGTTTTTGCTTCACGTATTAATATATAGATGTAAATTCAATCAATTAACATTGATCACACATACAACTTAATTAGTCATCCACGTGCACCGACCACTGATACGAAAAATATATATTGCTATATTTATTGTACATTCTTGATAAAATAATTCAGTCAAAAAGCGGTGATGTAATTTCGCTCACTCCATGCAAACGAATTGCTTGCAAAATATACAGTGTTATTTTATTGCTTAAATGGGTGGACGAGCTCACAGCCCACCTGGTGTTAAGTGGTTACCGGAGCCCATAGACAGCTACAACGTAAATGCGCCACCCACCTTGAGATATAAGTTCTAAGGTCTCAGTATAGTTAATTACAACGGCAGCCCCAGCCTTCAAACCGAAACGCATTACTGCTTCACGGCAGAAAATAGCAGGGCGGTGGTACTTACCCGTGTGGACTCACAAGAGGTCCTACCAGCAGTAATTGCGCAAATTGTAATTTTGCGGGTTCGATTTTTATTACACGAAGTTATTCTTCACCGTGGAAGTCAATCGTGAACATTTGTTAAGTACGTATTTCATTAGAAAAATTGGTACCCGCCCGCGGGATTCGAACACCGTTGCGTCGCTAGATACGAATGCACGACAACTTTACACTAAATCAAATATAATTTAAACGATACTTGAACAAAATTCATCTTTTGTTCGTTTTCTCAAAATTAGATTTAATAAGATTTAGGAAACTTCTAGAACCACGAAAATTTAAATACAGCGAAATAAAAAAATAAAAAAAAAACTTATTTTGAAAGATGGAACAAAAATACGAAATATTGGTTTTGACTTACACATTTACATTTAGAATGAAATGCAGTTTGTCCCCTTCGCACATTCTTCAGACAGCCTTGAGGTACGAAACGGTGGTATAATTTCTAAACTTCTTCCAATCTCGCCGCAGCCGATGTAACAAATTTAAAATATTTTTGCAACCGCTCAATCAAGGTAAGCTTTACGCTTAAAATCGCATACGTTCACGGGACCCTTGAGATAACCTTCATTTTGGGGATTCATTTTTTTTATTTTTATTGCCGTATAGGCAGACGAGCATACGGCCTACCTGATGGTGAGTGGTTACCGTCGCTCATGGACGTCAGCAATGCCAGGGGCAGAGCCAAGCCGCTGCCTATCGTTTTTACACAAGCATCGTTTGAAGAAGGACATGTCATAGCGCTCGGGAAACACCGTGGAGGGGAGCTCATTCCATAGCCGGATGGTACGTGGCAAAAAAGACCTCTGGAAACGCACTGTGGATGACTGCAGTGGCTCCAGGTAGTATGGATGAACTCTACTCCGGTGGCGGGCGGTGCGATGGTAAAAACGAGGTGTCGGTATCATCTCGAATTAATTAATAAAAAAATAGCTAGGTATAACTTATTAAATAAAGTTTTTCAAAATAAAAAGATTACGTACATTATTATTGTTGTTATATTATTCTATACATTGACGGCTCACTTTATAAATAAATCATCAAAAATATTTTACCAACCTAGAAAAACATTCTAGCACTTAAAAAAAAATACTGAGAAACTACATTTTTTTAAAAAGTCTCTCAAAGAGTAAGATTGCGCTTTCTGTAAGCTCGCAAGGTCGAGTTATGCACAAGACAAAAAAAATTATTAAATGATTTCGAGATACATTAATAATATCGAAATAAAACAATTTTCTAGAACTTTCCACTTTTATTCAGTTAACAGTCGCAAAATACATCGTAATTAATCTTAAAATAGGTATTTACATTATACTGGGTCTTTCTACCTACGTAGGTAAATCATACACAAATCATACCAAGAAAAATCAAATAAATATACCTAGTAAAAAAAAAGCAATAAATATTCGCTAATTATATATAATGACGATACAAATAATGTTATTAACTACAAAAGACAATTTTTAATAGAATTTTACACATAATAGAGCATCTCCGAACACCAAAGAGGGAGTGTTTGTAAAATGCCATAGAGAAATTCAAGATGTTTTCATTCGAGAAAATATGAGTTGATGGGAATATTTTTTTGTGGAAAATGCAGCCCTATTTTAGACACGCATGTCTAACGATAATTATCAATAAAAATAATATAGGTATCAATCAAATGTACACATTTTCCAAATAAATCTAATGTCTTGGAGGTGGCCAAATTTTAATGGTTCCGTTAGATAAGGTTAGCTAGTACAAGCGTGTTAAAAATTCTTCTTTGGATCTAGTAGGCAATGGTTTTTATGGTGAGTTTTGTACTAATTGAATAAATTTCAAACGCCTCGCTTCTTTGAAAATGGTATTCGTATGAATCCGTCGATCTGGCCTTGTCTTAGTTCTATTTATTGAATTATCTTGTCTTTTATAGTTAGTGAACGAAAAACTTCTTGTTGCAAAAGAGAAGCCTCTAACGTTAAAACTTTTCATAGATAAAAAGACGTAGAAGTTTCTCGAAAAAAAAAAGAACAGATTTAAGATTGTTTTTCTTTATTATTTGTATCGTGGCGCGCCTATATTAAGTCAATTAAAAGGGAATATTTTTATTATAATACTTTTATATGTATTATCATTTAGTCGCCCTAATTACTAAATGAGAAACATATAAATACACATAAATAATATATTAAGACATATATATATTTATAAAAACAGCATACTCTTTCTTTACTTTTCGAAAACTATTTAAATGGCCGACTAAACTTAAATGGATAAAGATTGGGTTAGAAATACAACAAAAAAAATCAATTCTTACAAATAATAGGAAAATTTTGAGATTTTATTTAAATAATATTTGTTGGATTTTGTGTCAATTAAAACAGAGATCACGTTAAAATAATACCAGTTAGAATTTGACGTAACCATTTCGCTTTCGACTTTAGAAACTATTCAATGGGACAGATGCGGAAAATTAATAAAGAAAAATCTTACCTAACTTCTATGATAGCAGCATGCAAGAAGTCTACATATTGCACATGCGGTGCGATATCGTCACTTATGCAAATTATGTAATTTTTCAGGAGAAAATCGTTGGAAAATCCAACATTTTATTATATAATTCTTATATAGTAAGTATATGTGTATATATATATGTGTGTGTGTGTATTTGTATATATATATATATATATATATATTGTTTTGTATCTTGTAATATGTATATATTATTATATGTAATGTGTACTGTATGCACTAGGTTTATGTCCCTAATTCTTCTTTCCTTTTGCGGGCCTACTGGAAGAGATTTCAACATGAAATAAGTATAGCCCTTGTACTCTGTATCCTTATTGTCGTATCTTTTCTAACAGCTGTGTGTACAAAATATATAAAATAAAATAAAATAAATAAATAGTTCTGCTAGATAGACTATAGGAATAGAATGATATAATTTAAACTACAAAATTAAAATTTACCAGTAAAAGCAAAGTCTCTCTTGTCTCACTAATGACTATTAAAAAAATGTATTTTCTCATAGTCAGTTCAGTGTTAATAAAAATTGCTTAAGTGACTTCATAGCACCGTATGAGCGATATAATCGTTTAAGTTTTAAGTTGGACCAAACTTTCTAAAGTGTGCAATTTAACTCTTAGCAGTTAAGAGCCTTGCATGCTGCTCTGCTAAACCCTTAAACCTCAACTTTGTAAGGGGATCCGGGAATGTGGTCATCCCCCCACTTCACGATCACAATGTAGTCTCCCCTGTCCCTGACGACGTACCAGCATTCGTAGTTGTTCTTGCCCTTGTGCTTCAACTGGACTTCGTCGCAAGGACCTTTGGGTCCGTAGATGCCGACGTACAGGATATTGGTACCTGAAGACAATGCAATAAGAGTTATTTTCTTATCACAGGAGCAGATCTTTTTCTAACAAAGTTTATTATGGAACGATGCGGAGGGGTACCCTAACCGGGAAAAAACGTCCGTAACGTAAGATTTTTATTAGTAATGCACACAGTGTACGACTTAACTTTGTAATAACGTACAAAAAATAACATATTTTTTTATCATTCGTTGACCACAATCTCAGAGCGTTCGTTTGCGCAATACACTAGCTCTTATGCAAACAATAGCGAATGAAGTGTACCACAATAAGTTCGCACGTTACCGATGACCGTGGGACTCGAATAGAACTTAAAATTAATATTTTTACAATAAAGAACTTCGTTCCTATCCGGTGTCCCACGACACCACACATCTTTTTTATTCAAGCTCACGACCCTACTGTTTGCTACTAGATACCAATGGATATCACAAAGAGAATGTTGTTAATCAACTGTTAGGATTGAAGGATGGGATAGCTGTTAAACACTGTACCAGAAATTTCGATCTCATGGCTAAAGGGTGGTGGTAGTTAGGTTTGTAATATCTATAAACTAATTAACGACTTAATAATACCACCAGATAAGATATGAACAGGTCTGCGATATCATAGTAAGCCAATATCAGAGTCAGGTAGATCGATGCCACGCCTTTTTTCCCCCTACCTATTCGCTGGTAGCAAAGACTATTCCCGCTTTTTGTGGACGGATAGGAGAGCTCACGGGCTCAATCTGAGAGAATTTGCTAACACTAGCCCTAACAAGAGCGGTGCTTCGCTGAATCTACCACCGAATCAGAATCGCGACTCCCTGAGAAGACCTGCCGAGAAACTCAGCGGGCTGTGTCTATAGAACCACGCCAGGACGAGCAGAATGCTATCATTTAGAAACCATATAAAATATTCAAGGGTTTTTCAAATGTTAGCACGTTCGGGCGTCTACCGATTTTTTTTCCAGACGACGAACACAGCCCCAGTTTTATTGGCGTTCAATAGTCTCTATTAATTTTCACTGATTTATCGTGTTAATCTATGGACGACAGTTAGGGGATATTTACCAGCGTCTCCGGCGTGAACTGTAAACTGATTGTGCTTGTTGAGGTAAGCCTTCTTCAGACCCATTCCCTTGCTCGTGACCTTGGTGGCGTCGGACTTGAAGTGCGGTAACACTGGCCCCTGCTTCTGGGCAGCCTTCGACACTTTCTGAACGGTTTCGACTGTCACCGACGAGGTCTCCTGGGCACCGATCTCAGCCAGATTACCACCTGTTAGTAAGTTAAATAAGAATAAGTCGTCGTGGCCTAAAGGATAAAACGCCCGGTGCATTCGTATGTAGCGATGCACCGGTGTTCGAATCCCGCAGGCGGGTACCAATTTTCCTAACGAAACACGTACTCGACAAATGTTCACGATTGACTTCCACGGTGAAGGAATAACATCGTGCAATAAAAATTAAACCCGCAAAATTATAATTTGCGTAATCACCGGTGGTAGGATCTCTTGTGAGTCCGCACGGGTACCACCACCCTGCCTATTTCTACCATGAAGCAGTAATGCGTTTCGGTTTGAAGGGTGGGGCAGCCGTTGTAACTAAACTTGAGACCTTAGAACTTATATCTCAAGGCGGGTCGCGCATGTACGTTGTAGATGTCTATGGGCTCCAGTAACCACTTAACGCCGGGTGGGCTGTGAGTTCGTCCACCAAACTAAGCAATAAAAAACACAAAAATCAATTAAATCTTTCACAGTTCGTTCGGTAATCGATAAATATAGTTTCGGACTTAAAACAATACAACTAGTCAAATCTCATACCAGTAGCTTCGATTTTGAAGGGAGATCCGACGATGTGAGCTCCGTTATACTTGATGCTCATGTAATAGAAGCCTGGAGATAGAGGAGTGTAGCGGACCTGTGCAAATAAAGTTTTCCTTAGATTTAACCTTTAAAAAACACTCGATCTCTTGAAGAAGCGGTAGGCAGCGGCTTGGCATGCCCCTGGCATTGCTGAAGTCCATGGGCGACGGTAATCACTCACCATCAGGTGGGCCGTATGTTCGTCTGCTAACAAGGGCAATAAAAAAAAAAGGAAAGAACTGCGCTGTTTATACCAGGGCAAACAGTATACGTCGCATAGCCATTACGCAGCTTTATTTCTCGAAATTAGACATATATCCTTTTTAATACAGATCTGTGGATTCTTGATTCTTCGTATTTTTTCTAGGCTCGACTATAACTTTTAGATTAATTAAGTAAACTACATCATCTAAATTCGACAATAACTGACTCCTTAAACAATTCGAATTAATTTTATTTATTTACGCTTATCTTTTGTTTTGTTGTCAAGGCTTTGACAAATTGATGTCTTCAAACAAGATTACAGAACTAGAGTACACATTAAAAAAAAGACAAAAAGTAAATCAGTTGCTAAACAAAGAATGAAATTATTGCAAGCGATTTTGTCTTTACCGATTAATGAATATATAAAAAATATCCTAAAAGTTACAATTTGAGGTATTACGAACTTCACAATTGTAACACAACAAGAAATCCCACCTCTACTGTTGAGTTCACCTTTGTAGATGTTGCAAATACGAGAGTATACCTAACGGCATGATGCCATACACTTAGATGCAAAAAAACCGGTACTGTCCTTATATTTTGTCCAAATTAAAGTCGATCTATTCTGAAAATTTACCTTATAACCCTCTTCGACTTCGGTGCAGTCCATGGAGACTCTGGAAGGTCCGTCCACGGTGACGGCGAGGATGCCAGCTCCAGCGTTACAGGTGTCAATAATAAGGTCAGTTTTGGCACCTACAAATAGAAAATATGAAATTAACGGGTCGAATCGAATTATTGCAATTTTTGAGAATCCATTGGATTTATTAAAATAACGTAACATAACTATGGAAAGTCTTACATATTTACTGATCCAATTATCAGTTTTGTAAGTGGACGAGCTTGTAATACCTACTAAGGATACTAAAGCTATTAACCAAGAAGATAATCAATATATATATAAATGAATTGCTGTTCGTTAGTCTCGCTAAAACTCGAGAAAGGCTTTACCGATCTGGTTAATTTTGGTCTTGAATTATTCGTGGAAGTCCAGAGAAGGTTTAAAAGGTGAATAAATATGAAATTGCTCGGAATTATATAAAAACAAACAATTTTGTTTTTCCTCTGATGTGTCCCCTGTCGGACTGATTCCTTTTTTTTTAAGTTTATTTCATACAAAAGTTTAGGTCTTTTGTTTATCGATTTATGCGCTACAAAGTCTGCCGGGTCAGCTAGTTTTATATAAATAGTTTCGTTCTATGCTCAATTTTACTCGAAAAAACTTTAGCTGCAGGGGGAATTATTACAACCGCAGTGATATTGATGGACTGATCCCGAACCCAATCACAGTGCGTTATCGAAAGCCACTCACCAGTCTTGACTGTTCCCAGACCGGGTCCGTGAGCGTGAACCGCTGCCGGATCAGCGTCATCCTTGCCGACCTGGACAAATAAGAGACTACTTAAAACCCTGGACTCATTGATTTGAATGAACCAGATTTTCGTTGCCAGGTTTTCCGTTAAGACACATTTTTGGGCCCATATTTACCATACTGATGGTAGGACCTCTTGTGAGTCCGCGCGGGTAGGTACCACCACCCTGCCTATTTCTTTTTGTACATAATAATGTGTTCTACAAAGTCGTAGTATATTATTTTATTCTATCATCAATAGTTTTCGCAGGGCAGGCGATTTAAAAAATATTTTAAGTAATTTTATTACACCTTGAGTTACAAAGTTGGAGTTTTAGTAAGGATCCTAATTTTTTTTCAAAAAAGATTATAGCCTATTACAATTGGGAATAGTGTAGCTTTCAAACAGTGAAATAATTTTTTAAATCGGTTCAGTAGTTTCGGAGCATATTCAATACAAACAAACAAACAAATCTTTCCTCTTTATAATATTAGTATAGAAGTATAGATTGACCAGCCTGCGAAAAGTGAAATAAGCCTTAAATTTAAAAGCGTAAGGACCAACCTTAATCCTCAAAGGCGAAGCAGGTATGTGAACACCGTTAAACTTCACGTTGATGTTGTGGACTCCGTTCTCCCTTGGCATGAACCTCACCGAGTACTGGTCGCCATCGATGTTCTGGATGAAGCAATCGTCGGTCTTGCCCGATGGCGAAATGACCTGGAGGAAACAGCCGGTTTTTGGTTAAAATCTTATCACGTTTTATTAACATGCTTTCTAATCTATTTGTTTGGATGGAATTCTATAATTCAAAAACAAAATTCCATCAACTAATCAAAATTCCATCAACTATTTCCGTTGTAACTATACTTGAGACCTTAGAACTTATATCTCAAAGTGGGTGGTGGTGCATTTACGTTGTAGATTCTATGGGCTCCGTAACCACTTAACACCAGGCGGGCTGTGAGCTCGTCCACCCATATAAGCAATAAAAAAAAAACGTACATTTATTTAAAAACGTCCGCCGTGACCAAGAAAACTGCAGTATTCAAAACGGCGGGAATGACAACAAAAAACGTGATACAATAAAAATTGCTTAATTATGTCCATCTTTTTCTCCCTATCTATTCGCTGGTAACCTAAGAGGCTTATTTCAGTTACGCCCTGACGGGTAAGTGAGCTCAGGGGTTCAACCTTAAAGAATTTGTTAGCACCAATCCTAGCAATGTCCATCAAGAAGTGAACTGAAGTTTTGTAGACAGCTCCGAATCGGATTACAATTTAAGGGAAGGCCAAGAGAAACGGATTTCGATATTTCGATTTACGACCCTTTCAGTAATGCTATTTTAAATAAGACTCCCTCCCTTAACTTATGAGACAGTCCTGAGATTATAAATTGACGAAGCTTGTAGCTGAAAGTAAGTATTGTACTTTTTGACGAAGCATGTTGCTGATAACCCTACTTCTGTAATCTGACGAAGCATGTTGCGGATAATAACATGTACTTTTAGGTTAGGAAAATTTAAATAGATTAAAAAAATATATATAAATGGAACAGATGTTAGCAAAGTCTCTCAAGTAGAGAGGCCGGTGAGCTCACCCATCTGGTAAAGCTAGCATTACCCCTCGAGGTTACTAGGAATAGGTGAGAAAAAAAAGGATTTTTATAAAAACCTACAATGAATTTACATAATTAGTAGTACCAACAAAGTGATCACCAATTCAGGGAATCGAAATGACTAGAAGGAACGTGATAAATGTCACCTTAACAATAGATAAAAGCGACAATGAAATAGTTGACAATATCTTAAAATTTAAAACAAAAATAATTGAATAATAATAATACATTAAAAGAAAATAAAAATTTATAAACTCCAGAATAAAACAATTTCAGTTACAAAAGAAAATTTGACACGAATAAAGTTAATTAGAGGAAAAAATAATAGGTAAAAGATGACGACAAGTGATTAGATCTGTTTTGATTGGATTTTATTTAGTCAGGAAATAATCCAAACGAGATTTTTAAATTCTAATTACAATTAAAGCATGAAATACATCCAGCTTGGATATACTTATGAGTAGACCAGCTCTCAGCCCACCTGATGTTGAATAGCTACCGCAGTCCATAGACGTAGCAACGCCAACGCTGCTTGAGACATGAAGTCCAAGTTTCAAGCCCTTCAGACCGGAAACAGGCAGAATGTCGCTACCAATAAACAAGTACCCCGCAAATAAACAACAAAAGTGGAATTAAATATGAAGGCTCACCCAAGACTGAATCTTTAGGTTGCCCGCAAACGATACATCTTCCAATAAAACTAAGGGCGATATGATTTATCGCGGGAACATGACACTGGTCGAGCGAACATCAGCGGACCCGGATTTATGATGGATGGTTTTCACGCCACGTTATGAGAACGCTGTTTTTTTTTTTTTATTCACTACCTCATTTTCCTGCCTTTACCTTAATAGAAGAAATATATGAGGCCGTCAGCGCAAAAGTGGCCTATGCTTACCATAGTTAGTATGGAGGCAATTAGGTTTGAATTTTCATGAATTTGAATTGGAATAAGCAAAAAAACAAAACCCGCAAAAATAATGTTGACAAAGCTATCTGTTATCTATGGGTGAAACCATGGATAAGCCGGTTTTTTATATTTTAAATAAATACCAATATACATCTTATAAGCTTGAATATAAAAAAATTGTGGGTTAGGCCACTTTTGCGCTGATGGCCTCATATAATGAACAATTGACGGTGAATTAATTTTATCACTATTTTAATCGTATGTGGCGATAACAAAAGTTAAATGGTATCATAGACATCCTCCGTAAGACGAGATAAAATTGTATTTCCTGACTTGAGAAGACCTGTTCTTTACTTAAATTGTAATTTTATTATTTTCACTCAGCTATTTCTTTTGTATCACTTCTCTTGGACGTTTTTTATTGGTAATGAAAATAAATGTGCGCCCCTACTTTTTCTTATCAAAAGTTTTAACCGGTTCTTAACTATTCCATTTTTTTATTGCATATGGTGACCACTTAACACCCGTCTTAGCAACAAAAATACGATTTGCGTTACGATAGGAATGCTTATTACACCGATAAAAAAAAGTTGAGGTTAAAATATTAGCTATAAATAAAAGAAAAGTGGCAAAGCGATTCAAAGCGTTTTGAAAACGGTCAGGTGGAATTCAAAATTACAGACTGTTCTACTAAATATTCTAAATACAAGAGAAGGTCAAAGAACAGAGTCTGATACCAAAAAAAATATCAATCCTGATGCGTCAGTATCAGAAGCTCTATCTAGTCAAGATTACAAGTTTCCTTCGACAATCTTACGATTCCGGTATATTCTACAAAGTATTTATTTTATTTTATTTTTTATTGCTTAGATAGGTGGACGAGCTCACAGCCCATCTGGTGTTAAGTGGTTACTGGAGCCCATAAACATCTACAACGTAAATGCACCTCCCACCTCGAGATATAAGTTCTAAGGTCTCAGTATAGTTACAACGGCTGCCCCATTACTGCTTCACGGCAAGAATAGGTGGGGTGGTGGTACCTACCCGTGCGGACTTACAAGAGGTCCAACCACCAGCTTATTACAGTACTCGAGCTTATACATGTTTTTGTTCATAATTTTTAATAGTTTGGTCGATTTTTCATAGATCACTCTGAATATTGATGATAATAGTACACAGCAACATTCTGTATCTTGTTAAAATTTCTCTATGTAAAACGATTATCTAGAAGATATGGTTTTAGCGACACAGCGCCTATTGTACAATTATACTTGCCTGTTGTCTGTTGTTTCAATTTTAATGGGTGTAAGTATAATCTCTCTCTATATTTATTTAAAGACATAAACGTTAAACTCATCAGCGAGAATGCCGAAGCTAGTACTACTACTATTTTTACACACACTTCACTTTAATTAGCAATACGAAAAATTTCAATACAAAAGATCTTAAATCAGTCGATTTAAACGTCACTGCGCCAATTCTAATACACGAATGGATTTTTCTTCATAAAGCAACTACTAATTTCATGTAGTGTACTCAGAGGCTTCAAAAATCAGTCTGTGATTCCAGAATCATGTTATCCGATGTCCTCGTCAACAATTCTGCTATGTTAGTTACAAGATTATCCTCAAAAACTCAGTTACTGAAAGAGATTAGTTGGAATTTCTAAGAGTAAGGTTATTTGAGTCGTCTATTATCAAAGGTGGCAATCTGTGCATTTGGACAAAAAATTTTTATTGATATGACAATACAGATTGGTTTGAATATAATCGTGTCCTTCAAAGAATACGGTTCAAAACCTGCATTAAATAAAGGTTAATAGTTAACCTGTTATTTATCTAAGATGTCGTTCCGAAGAGTTTTGTGACTGCCAATGGAATACAAAGTCAATAATTCGTTTTTCTGATTTACCAATCATTGTCCAAAAGTCAGATTGCCGGCTTTGATAATAGTCGACTCANGCAATCAGGAGCCAATCAGGCGCATAACGCATTTCGTGTGACATGCTAGTACGATTTTGATTGGCGCGCGCACGCATCACGCAATCAGGAGCCAATCAGGCGCATAACGCATTTCGTGTGACATGCTAGTACGATTTTGGTCCCCATAATTTTCATACCCCGGGCCTATATATGTAAATCGATTCTAAAGGAGTAAACTCCAAAAACGTGATACAATAAAAATTGCTTGATTATGTCCATCTTTTTTCTGCCTATCTATTCGCTGGTAGCCTAAGAGGCTATTCCATTTACGCCCTGACGGGTAAGTGAGCTTAGGAGTTCAACCTTAAAGAATTTGGTAGCACCAGTCCTAGCAATGTCCATTAAGAAGTAAACTGAAGTTTTGTAGACAGCTCCGAATCGGATTACAATGTAAGGGAAGGCCGAGAGAAACGGATTTCGATATTTCGATTTACGACCCTTTCAGTAATGCTATATTAAATAAGACTCCCTCCCTTAACTCATGAGACAGTCCTGAGATTATAAATTGACGAAGCTTGTAGCTGAAAGTAAGTATTGTACTTTTTGACGAAGCATGTTGCTGATAACTCTACTTCTGTAATCTCACGAAGCGTGTTGCGGATATTAAAATGTACTTTTAGATTAGGAAAATTTAAATAGATTATAAAAATATATATAAATGGAACAGATGTTAGCAAAGTCTCTCAAGTAGAGAGGCCCGTGAGCCTACACGTCCGGTAAAGCTAACATAACCCCTCGAGGTTACTAAGAATAGGTGAGAAAAAAAAGGATTTTTATAAAAACCTACAATGCCTTTACATAATTAGTAGTACCAACAAAGTGATTACCAATTCAGGGCATCGAAATAATTAGAAAGTATGTGATAAATGTCACCTTAACAGTAGATAAAAGCAACAATGACAATATCTTAAAATTTAAAACAAAAATAATAGAATAATAATATAATACATTAAAAGAAAATAAAAATTCATAAACTTCAGAATAAGACGATTTTAGTAACAAAAGAAAATTTTACACGAACAAACTTAATTACAGGAAAAAATAATAGATAAAAGATGACTATAAGTGATTAGATCTGTTTTGATTCGATTTTATTTAGTTGGGAAATAATCTAAACGAGATTTTTAAATTCTAATTACAATTAAAGCATTAAATACATCCAGCTTGGATATATTTATGAGTAGACGGGCTCTCAGCCTACCAGATGTTG